AAGATAACTTAAATTCAATCAATTAGCATGTGGTCCATTTTCTTCTTGAGCTGCCTTATTTAAACTTTTTTGTTTGATAAAAACTCTTAATAATTCACCAGTAATAGTCAGTATACCAAATTTTTTCAAAGTTTCTTTGCAATGTTCATTGGATTCCGTGGCTCTAGCGATTATATAATCTTTGTCTAGGTTGCTGATTCCTTCGGTCAGATTGATCGCATAACACATTTGTTGAAATGGCGATTTCAATAAAGAAGTAACAAAACCATCTAAACTAAATAAAAGTCCTTGAATTATGGCGACAATAATAATCAAAAACTGGTCTTTACTAGTTCAATTATTTTTTTGCAAAAGTCCTAATACTCAGATTGAAACACCTTTGCTTCAAGTTAAATAGACTGCGATGTAGATAACAGTTAAAATAAGCAAACACTTTCAATATTGTCTAAATTTTTCGTTAATTCTTTGAAAAGCTTTTTCACTTTTCATTGAAGAGGAATTTAAATTCATATATTTTTCGGATTGTAATTTTTATTTGGATTAATTAAATGTTTATTAAAAAAATTTTTTCCCCGCTTGGGAATTCTCTCGAATAATTTTGCTCTCTCTCTCTCTCTCTCTCTGCTTTTTAAGCGGATGCAAGCTCTTAATATTCTGCTTTATAGGAAGCATGTATGCATAGCATATAAATTTAAAGCACCATTTTTATAAGAAAAGCATACATACTATATTTTTACAGTTTTCTCGTTAAGCATAATTTTAACTTTATTATAGAGCAAGCATACAAAAAGCATGAAAGCATAAAACAAGACTAAACCTAAAATTATAATAAAAAAAATTAAGAACTTTTAATATTTTTAATTAGCCAATATATGCCAAACCCAAAGGCAAAAATGAAATAAATAACTGAAACAACGAGAAAAGCATTGGCTCAGTTTGGTTTATTATCTTTTAGCAATAGTTCTTTCATTTTAAGATAATTAAGAATGGCAAAAAAAGGAGTGGCGAAAGGATAAATATATAGTCTTAAAAATCCGCCTAGGCTTGTTAAAAATTTATCTATTCAACTTAACATATTTAATTTTTAGTAGACAAATTGAAGTATTGGGCAAGATATTTGGCCACCCCATCACTATTAAAAATTCCAAAATCAGTTATGCCATAAGCATGAGTTTTTAAATAGTTATCACTGTCAGCGGTAACTATTCCTTTACCAACACTGTGCACTAATTCAATGTCGTTCACATCATTACCAAAAGCCATGACGTTATGTAAGCCAATATTATACTGAGTTGCCACTCATTCGGCTCCCGTTCTTTTGCTGGCTAATTTATTGCGGATTTTTATTATTTTTCTTTCCGGATCGGGAACCAAAATTTTGTCTCCAGGAGTTTTGGCTTTTAACTTGCTACCAAAATAAAAAGTAATGGCGTCACCATAATTTTTCCGCAAAGTTAGCAAAATTTCATTAAATTTTTTTTCATCCGACGAGAATTCTAGAACTAATTGCAAAACATCCTTTTTTCCCAAAAGCTCCAAAATATTTTCTCCTTTGGTGTAAGGATTACCGTTAAAAAATATCTCTTGATAATAAATATCATCACTAGTGCTAATAGTTTTTAAATCTATTTCTCTATTTTCTTTTAATCCATTGACATGATCAATTAGAACATTTTTAATATTTTCTTTAATTATTGGTTCGTGCAAAATATTTTTAACTATTTCATTTTTGATAGGGTAAAAAGCCGTTATTTCTTTGTTATTCTTATCCTCCGGATTATTAATGTAGGCTCCATTATAAGTAACTAAAAAAGTATCTAGTCCTACCTCTTTATAAAAAGGCAAAGCGGATAAATAATTTCGTCCAGTAGTAAAACATACTTTATGTCCTTGTTCGATTAATTTTTGTAAAACTTTTTTTAAGTTTTGATTTAAAGTGGAAAAATCAGGATTGGTGCTAGTTCCATCAATATCTAGTTTAATTAAATGTATTTCTTTATCTTTTGCTGTGTTTTCGGTCATAATATAATTTTTACCGCCGAGGTAATTTAGATAGTTTTTTAATATTTATTCCCTTAATTATACTTAATTATATTACAAAAGCATCTTAGAAAAATAGAATCCTACTTAATGTAACTTTCATATTTTTATTTATTGTTTAATTTAATACATATCAAATCGGGTAAATCCTTAATTCTTGAATTTTCTTATAACTTACAATTAAATCCCATAGTAAAGCATTAGTAAATGATAAAAACAATTCTTATAATTTATAACGATTTTTTTTGTTTTTCTTTCGAGAATTTTTAGTAGGCTTATTTAGTTTTAATAATTTGCTCGTGTTTATTGTTTTAATTTGGTGGCCACTTTCGTACAATCTTTCGTAAAAAAGCTCAAAGAGTTCGAGTGACTTCTTGTAAATCCCGGGAGAGTCCTCTTCTCGTGGACCGGTAATGTTTAATTCTTTGATACCGCTATCATTTATCCATCCAAGACACTGGTCAACGTTTACTTCATCATTTTCATCAAGGAAAATAATTTTGTGTGGTTTTCCAAATTTTTTTAATGCCTTAAGCACGTAATTCGTATAATTTTTCCTGAAAGTTAATCGACCAGTTTTCGTTGGTAAAACCACTAACGTAGCATCGTATACATAAACGTTAAATGCGGCGACAATTAAAACGTCCAAGCCAATGCCATCTTGTTCATAGAATTCGATGGCAGAATTTAAAGCAAAACTTAGAACTCTTTCATTGATCAATGGCTTTTCCATGATGTAAATAATTATTTTGAAATTAATGCAATTAACCTTCTTTTATAAAGAAAGGATTCTATTATTCTTTATTATTGTTATTCAATGAGTATTAAAGTTTGTCCTTATCTGGGAAACAAAAGAAAAATACACTTTCTCGTTATGGAAACTTCCTTTCTCAGGATAATCTTTATTAAATTGTATTGATCGGAAAGAACAATTTTGAACAAATTCTAATTGTAATAATTTTTTTCTAAAATTTTCCACGCAGGAAAAACTAATATTATGTAACATACTATTGTTTATTAGTCATCACGAGTCAAACCATTTTGGTATTCTTGTTCTTTATCTATGTTTTGCTAATGATATTTTGCTAGCATGCACTTGCCATATTTTTTTCGCTAAAGATTTTATTATTATACATATCATGTATATAGCATTATGTAAAGTATTAAGATTTTTACTAATAAAACTGTCTAAAAAAAGTATAGCTTATTGTTTTTTTCCTCTGTGGGAAATCATCCGTTAAAACAAATCAGGGCTAAGCAACCAAGATTATTGTCCCGTCATAAACAATATCTCGGGATAAAAAGATACTGATAAGAAAAATTTTCTCAAATTAGTGAAATTAAAAAGCGCACTTGTCCTCTAAGATTGGATTGAAATTAACTTTTTTCTGCAGGGAATTTATTCAAATAATGACGATAATATGAGACAAACAAAAGTTTATCATTGCATAGTTAATCATTACCTAACCGGAAAGAAGTAACATGTTGCAAAGTGAATAAGTTCATATACCAAGCCTTTTTGCGAACCCTTTCTCTCTTCAGATAAGTCTAATTTAGGAAAATTTTCCCTGCGTGGGAAAATTTTAAAAGTCGAGTATAGAAAATCAAGCACGTAATTTTGCCAAGAAATTAGTCAACCAATAATTACTAAAAAGGCAGTACCGAGCACAATCAAAAGCCACCTAGAATAACATAATTTACGCCGTTTGTGTTGAATTGAACGTTGCTTATTAATGTTTATTACACTAACTAAAATTAACTCAATACAAAACATTTGCTATTATTCTTGATTAACCACTCACGCCAAATTAGATTGCATGATCATTTGGCATTTTTAACAACAAATTTTATTGAAAATGTGAGATAACAAAAAATGTCTTTACAATTTTTCGTCAGGAAAAGGAGAAAAAATTATAAACAAGAGTACTTTTTTTTTACTTGATAAAGCACTTCTTATTACAAAAGAAACGTCTCTACTTGTTAAACCCTAACTAAAAACTAAAAATTGCACTCTATCAATATAGAATCTCCACAACGGAAATGTTTTATTATTTATATAACAAATCTTATACAAAGTTATAAATTCGGTTGCCACCAAAAGTCTATCAGTTTTCAAAACTTTTGCTTATCGCTATATCGAAAATTTTAAAGTTTTCTGTTGACGTAACAGAATGTGGAATGGGGCCTATATTTAGTGAAAAAGTTCCTGCTGAAGAGTAAGAAAAAGGCGACAAAGTTGAACTTTTAAAAATCCTCCCCTAATTCAAGGAAAGCCAACTTAATACGATACATCCGATCAGAATCATTCACGTCTGCACTTTTTTGAAATAATATGTAAACAATCATAGTGCAAAAGCCACTAAATATTTTTTTAGTTTTTAACAATAAGGTTCTTCTCTTGATCGTTTAATTTACTCGTCTAGTAATGATTAATTTAAACTAACTTGGAAAGAATTTGCTCGGAAAAAAAATAAAAAAAAGCAAAAATGTCATTGAAAACTAAACACGTGTATGAAAGAAAGTATTTTTTTAATATTTTAATTCCCCGGCTGGGAAAAATATACTTTCTTATTAAAAATACATTCTTTCCCAAAAGTAATTAAGCCGAAATAATCTTCATGCTCACAAAAGCAAGTAATTAAATTAATATTGTCTAAACTGGCAACAATAATATTATAATCAGAAGTTTTTTTCAACCGTTCATTTTGTCTATAGCAAAACACTATGAACAACAAAACCCCCCAGTTTATCGGAACTGGTCAAAAAAACAACCGAATAAGGACTCAACCCAACTCAAGAAACGAGCAAACCCTCACAGGCCTCTTAACTTCCCGAATCGAAACCCGACAGGATTATCATTATGGCTTCTTCCAACTCCCTAATCAAGACCAAGAAATCCCAGTCATCTTTAAAGGAGCTAAGCCCACCTTAACCAAAGGCAGCACTCTCAAACTCCAAGGAACTTGAAGTCAAGGAAAAGACCGACCCTCCTTCACTTGCCACCAATACCATCTCCTAAAAGAACCCGAACCTCCTACCCTCCAATCCCTCCAAACCACCCTCAAACCCCTCCTAAACACTTGTTTAGAAAAAAAACAAGAATGACAATCCCGAACCGACCACCTCTTTAAAAAGAAAAAAGATTTAGAAGAAATCGAGAAAATGAGCAGACTAGGTTCTAATTACCTTCAAGCCTACTTACTAACCAAACAAGCCTTTTATGCTAACTATCAAGCTGAACACTTAGAACAAGCCAATTTTAACTTAGAAACTTATCTCCAAAGAATGGCTTCTGAATTAAGCCGAGAAAGCTCTCATATTCAAGCTTATTTAAGTAAAGAAAATAGAACTAATCAATTAGATACTTTAGCCAATAATTCCATCCAAATCACCCTCGAAGCCTTAAACCAAAAAGACTTAATTATTAAGGACTTACAGCAAAAACTAGCTAACTGTAATTGCCAAAAGGAGGTTCCCCATACCTAGAAACCTTAAAACCCAAGCTCAACTCCAAAGCCAAATCACCAAACTAAAACAAGAAAACACCCAACTAAGACTTCTCTTTAGAGTAATCCTGGATACAGCTCATTTGGCTATCAATGGTCCGGAAATCGAAGAAAAAGAAGAGCAAGAAAAAGAAAAGGAGGCCAAAGAATGCTAATCCTCCTCACCCTTCTCAATCTCCTTCTCAACTTAGGAATTATCTTTTGAGCCTTAAATAAAACCTGCTCTCAGTGTAAAGAAGAATTACCTGCTAATCTAATATTCACTTTTCAAAATAAATGTGAAACTTGTGAAAGGAGGACTAATGAATAATAAAATCGAAAAAAACCTCCAATTTACTTGCTCATCTTGCTTCTCCACCTTCCAACTCTTAGAAATCCACGAAAAAGAAAGTGCTAACTGTGAAGCTAATTGCCCCCAACAATGGCAATCCTTACTAAGCAAGCATTACCAGAATCACATTATTCTTCATTTAGCCCAAGAAGAGGCTCAAAAAGAAAAAAAGGAGGAACCCCATGAATAAAAGAAGCCAATTCCTCTACCACCTCACCGGGACTATTCAAGTAAGAACTCTCCAAAAAACTTCTCCCACTAGCAAGTATGCTAACCAATCCTTCTATCGATTAAGAATAGTTCACCCTAACCAGCCCCCTAAATATTTGCAAGTTTTTAAGGATAAACTAAAAAATCCGACCATTTGGGAAACTCTCCACCAAGCCCAAAGAGGAGAACTCTCTTCCCGAAAATATATTTTTCATTGTCAGAATGTGCGAGGTTATTATCATTTAATAGATTGAGAAGAATTGAAAGAGAAAGGAGGTAAAGATTAATGAACTGAACTCATTACTGAGCCCAAAGACCTCACCTTAAAAAAATTCCCATGAAAAACCATAAATACCTCGAATGATTAAAAGATAAAAACTTAGCTCCCGGCACGATCCGATCTTACTTAGATACTCTCCACAAATTCAACCAACCCCTCACCACCCCTGGAGTTAAAACCTACTTCCTAACCAACCAAAAAACCTATGCCCCTACTACTCTGAAAACCAAACAATATACCCTAAATTCCTACATTAAATTCAAAAAACTAAAAATCGAATGAGAAAAAATTGCCCGTCTCATTCCTTCGGTCCAGAAGAAGTTTTTTGACACCCTCACTGAAAAAGAACTAACCCTCTTAAAGCAAACTAAAGTAGAGAAAAATCCCACCATCCATGCCCGTAATAATCTCCTCCTAGACTTCCTCCTTTATTCAGGCGTAAGAATCAACGAACTAATCCACATCAAACATTCCGACTGACAAAATAATCAACTAAAAATCCACGGTAAAGGAAATAAAATCCGTTATATTTTCCTCCCGGACTTCCTAATCAAACACATCAATCCTTATTCTTCTGATTACCTTTTCCTTAATCAGAGAGGAAATCAAATCAAACCCGAGTATATAAGATGACTCTTAAAAGAACGAACTAAAAAGGCTCAAATTAAAAAGAAAATCACCCCCCACACCTTCCGTCGTTCCTTTGCCACCCTCCTCTACCAAAAAGGAGCCCAATTAATGACTATCCA